AAACATCTCTGTACAAGCACAACATTCAATTGCTTTATTTTTTTGAAATTGCAAGGAAATTTCCTATAACTTATGTATATGTTAAAATGTTATTTCAGCACCTCTGTAGGCCTTTAAAACCGATTTGCCAATATTAAAAGCCAGAAATTAACTTAACAAATTTACTTTGGCGATTCTTTCCTCATTACATGTCGAGAGAGCGTGCGTTCATTGTGATCCTGTGCGTCGGCGAACTCTCCATCTGAAACGACTTCCCATTCCTATTGTTCATTGAACACTCCCATAAATTTTTAAATCGAACGCTGCCGTTCATTCATATTTGAAACAAGAGCGGGCAAACGATCATCTCGAGGCCGACGACACCGAATAAAAGCCATCGTGATACAATGTTGGACCCCGTTATGCGTGGATTCTAATAGGAAAAAGTAAATTAGATGCTGTAGGATCCGAGTTTACTACCTCCATTCATTTCATTGCATGGTAATGGACGCGTATTTGCCCGCGGTGGAGTTTAATGTATGACAACAACCCGGTTAATTAGATAGCTATATTCCGACACTCAATACTCAGTACACCCAACCAGTAGTTAAATCAGTGGCGGCTCTTGAAGTTCACACCAGGGAGGGCGGAAAAATTTAGATACAAAGTATTGAAAAACAAAATATATNTAATTTGTTCTGCATTACTGTATATCATTATTTGCATTTCCTTAAATGTTCAAAAAGCCAGTTTTTAAACAGAAACAGAAAGTAGGTTCAAAATTCTCTAAAAATTTTAATTACTAGAGTTTTAAGTGATTAATGTGGTTAAGAAAAATCATAAAATAATTTCTGAAACATCTGCAGGTCATCGTAATAAGTTCTACAATAATTACATTCTAAGCATTTATTTTTAAAATTTCGTAGACCTAAACATTGTACCTTCATATGAAAATAATTTCAGATAATTAAGTAAAAAAGCACGACTTTTAGCGTATTAGATACAGAGCTAGATGCTATTAAATATATTTAATTACACTTAAATACTTTTAAATGCTTGAAATACTATTTATACAGAAATACATTCAAATCTTAATAATTAGATTTAAATACAATTAAATCCCTAAAGGGTATTTACAATTACCTTTAAATACGTTTAAATACCATAAATACTTTAAATATCCAAGTATTTATAAATACGTGTACAAATTTTGTGAAGTGGCATACCCCTCGGTAGGAGCGAGCTACGCTATGGTTGCTTTTTAACAACTTTTCCTTTAAATTATGAGATTTGACAACAATGCATATCGCAATTTCCAAGTGTGCATGAGCCAGTGGCGGCTCGTGACATTAAGAATAGGTGAAGCATATTTATTGATTGACTGAAAAGAAAAAATAAGCGTCGCTGGCGAAAATTTTCAAATTTTCAAGGTCAAACGGCTTTAAATGAATCTGAACATTTTTAGTTGCATTTGAAATATTACTGAAAAACTGACATTCGTGAGAAGGATTTTCATTTAGATTTTATAAAAAATAGAAATATTAGTTCGGCTTGTGGACTTCTGCGAACATTAACGCACACCGTACATGTATGTTCCAAAGAAGCTTTATGCTTCCACACAACCACTAATACTCCGAGTACCATTCATTCCGAAACTTTCGAACGTACACGTTGTCTTTTGACTTCCCCTTTTTTCCCATATCGAGAAAATAGGGCACAGGTCTCTCGCAATTTAAAAAACCCTTTTTGTCCTGAATTTTTCATCTGGAAAATGGCGTTAAAGGCAAGCGATGGGCGATGCTGCTTCAATTTCTGCGTCACTCGTTCCCCCACGCCGTAGTTTAATCACCTATTGGCCGCCTCGTTGCCATGACAACCGCCGTAAATAACGCTACAAAGAGAAGCAGAATACAGATTGATTTCAATCTGCGTCACTTGCATATACTATACGTTGTATAGTCTGAGGTTGATGTTCGCGCTCAACGAAAGCAATGTTTTTTTAGAAGGCGTTCACCGCGCAACTATTCTGTTTATTTCTGCGTATTAAACAAACAAACACAATACATTTTCAATATAGAATTATATCTAAATTATAAAATTTATATAAAATTAAAACTAATGTTAAATTGCACAACCAAACGGAAATTTTAGGTGAGGCGGTGCGTCACTTGCGTCATCTGACGAGCCACCACTGGCATGAGCTGCCACTAACGTGCTCCATTGTTTGAGGTCACATTAGCTTGTCCAGCGGCGAGCTATGAAAATTACTAAAAATAGTTTTTAAAAAAATTCCGAAAATCAAAATTTCAGATACAGAATAAACTATTTTAATCGTAACTTTTTAACATACCATACATTCGATTTTCTGATACAAGTTAATCTATTAAGAAATAAATTTGTCAGCATATACAGTCCGCATGCTAATAGATTGAAAAAATATACGTATGTAAATTTTGTATTTACAAATGAGAAAAAAAACAGGTTAATAGTGCTACTATAGCTGCAATTATAGTAAGAAAAACCCGATAAATATGAAATACAGATTAATCCTCAGATATCGTATGTAACTACTAACTATTGTCTACAGTTCCACTCCTTAAATTCCATTCATCTTACTGTACTGTAATTAATTAATTTTTATATTTCTAAAATGGCATTTTCTGTAGATTTGTTGATATATTATCTGAATTTATGTTTGATGACATTTAAATAAATTAAGTTAAATAACCAAATGGTTACGTAGAAAGGTGGGATTGAAAATATGTTTATATCAGGGTAAAATTATTCCGTAAATCATAATGAAAATCATCAACAAAAGCAACATAACAGCAAAAGCAACAACAAAAAATAAATGATTAGCTGTGGAATATTAAAGCAACTTTGTTTATAAAATAAATCGATTAAAAAAGGAATGTAGATTCTGAATGCAAGATCGAGAATACCTTTGAGTAAAGTTTTAAAATTAGTAGGCATCATCAAAATAAGCCATCGTGGAAAATTTTAATACTAGCAGAATATACAGAAAAATACTTTTAGTTGACGAATTATTTGATGGCGCTTCTGCATCTGTATAATAAGAAAAATATTTGAATAGAACTCGAAAACTCCAGTTTGTTTAGATTATGTTTCTATTTGTAAATAAATGTGTATATTTTTAATCCAAAACCAATTTAATTAGACGCCGATTAAATTTAACAAACATAAACCGGAATTTTACTATTTACATAAAACAGTGAAACGGTTTTTTGTTATATACCTACAAAGTATAATGCCGGTGTATGGGCTTATTTGGTTTTGCTCAATCAAATGATGCATTGTTCAGAGTAAATCGTGGTAATCCGATTATGCATGCCCAATTTCGCCGGGTGTTTACACAGCATCAATTAGACAGAAATGGAAAGATAAATCGTGACCACCTTCCATCACAAAATTGGTGAAATAGAAAACAAAGTCTTTTAAGTTACTTTAAAGGTATTGCATGGGCTAATTCAAATTAATTCTAAATATTTAATATAAACTAAATTAATATTTTTCAAGTAAAATAATTTACAAGAGTTATCTAATAATACAAAATATTTAATCCTATTAAAACAACGTTATCAACTAAAATTTCTATTTGAATTACCCGGTATGTTAAAGTTAATTATACTGTTAGTACATAAATAATTTTTAATATTATCAAATGTTTTGCAAGACTAAATATTTTGTTTTCCAATCATTCCTTGCAAAACTAAAGAAATGAACTGAAATATATCCATTTCAAGGATATAACTCACTTGAAAAATTATGTAAGATACAGAGTGTCCCACTTAAGATTGTAACTTTTTTAGTTTTTGTTCGATTTAATTGAAACTGTTCTTAAAATCCCACTAACTGCAAGTTTCAATGCAATATATTATAAAAATGCTATTGTCTGCAATTTTTTTTTCAGACTGAAAAGAAAGGAAATATTTTAAACAAATACACCCCTTGTACCCAAAGGGTAGTCAGTCAAGAGGTTGAATTTATTGCTTTAGTTAGCCTAACCATAAACACAGGATAAGCTGTTAATGTTTCGAAAACTTCTTGGTTTTCGTCCTCAAAACTCTAGCAAACCTAATCAAAAAACAAAGTCATATATGATTTTCACTCAATTCAATTAGTTTTGAGAACAAAAACTGAGGAGTTAACTTGTCCCGATTTAATGTAACCATTAACAAGTACTTTATTATTGAGATATTTGTTTTTAGGCAAAACTAAAAGCCCTTAGCTATTCCGTTTTGTGCAAGGGGTTATTTACTTTTTTATTCCAGTGTGGCAGAAATGTCCAATGCCCAATGAATCAAAAAATGTAAAAAATATACTGGAAGTGACATAAAATACAAAATGGAAAAAACTGATTAATAATAATTTGTGGATCGTGAATTTTATGTGTTGTACACAAACGAGATCTGTTTAGAAAATAACCGTACTTTATTTTTTTAAACTTTATTATTAATTTTATACATTATTGGTCCTGCTTGTCTCCTTCAAAGTACTGCACTTTTTGAAATTGAAGTTTTGTACTTTGTCCTCAAATCGTTTTTTGCGTAACTAAGTACATCATTTCATTTTTATCTAAACATTCAATTGCTTCTAAGTAATTAACTTTTATAGCAGATACATAAAAAGCGATATCAAAATTATTAGTAATTTTATAAAATTGTTTGTAGTACCCACAAAGTACAATTGTTTTAGATATTTCGATTATCTTGGAATTGAATTGCTTTTTTTATAAAATGATATTTTCCAGCAAATAATTCATCGAATTCTCTCAAGAAAGGTTTCGTATATTTCAATGTTTTTATTAAATTACTTACATAATAATCAATTATAATAGTGGTAAATTTGGCTGGTTTTTATGTTATAATTTAATTGCTACTTTGTAGGAATGCTGTTAAAAATGCCACATACTTAGATGCCTAAAGTGACAATCAATATACATAAAAATAAGTGTAACCATTGTAACTACAACTACAGTAGCCAGCCCCAGTCGTACTTACATGTTCATCTACAGAATAATTCAATTCGCCGTCATCGTAAAGGACAAACCATCGTCGTTGCCATCTCTGCAAGAAAAATAAAATTATTATTAAAGCTGACAACGCCCAAAAATGTAAAGATTTTGAGCACGATAATATCAAACATTATAACCTTGATTTTTCATAACATGCATAATTCATTGAAATGAGTATAATAAACTCTCTTTATAGTACAGTGAGCGGCTAAATTATGGAACAAGTTCAATAAAACAGTAGAATTTAAAAAAGTCCGAGGCACCTGACTTTGATTGATGACAACAAACATTTTGACGTCAATTCTTCATAGTCGCTTGTGAATGATGAGGTCATTGATTTTTTTTAAATAACGACCTGCCATTTTTATTGCTAATTTGATAAAATCGTTTAATAATCAAATTGACAAAGTAACATAATTTTCGAATAGAATTTATTTAAAGAATGAATGCCAAAAATTATATTAAAATTTTTTTATGACATACCTAAGTACAGCAAAAAAATAAACATTAAATATATTATAAAGTGTATCTGTTAACCCTTGGTATGTTAAAAAAATATTGTCAATTTAACATTATTTTTTATAAAGCTTGAAAAAGTTATAGGCATTGGTCTTATGTTAGGTTTACACGCTTGCCAAGTCTCGGCAAGCGTCCACAAGCACAAGCGTGTGAACGGGGGTGTTTGGCTTGGTTTGCGTGAGCTTGGAGAAGCATGAGTGGCTGGTCGAACGAGGAAACTATATCCTTTCTGGAATATTACCAGAGTGAACCTTGTATCTGGAAGTCCAAGGATATAAACCATAAAGATAAAAAGAATGTGGCAGATGCCTGGAATCGTCTTGGCGAATCAATGCAAAAGCCAGTAAAAGAATTAAAAGCTAAAGAAGAAATATGAATGACGCCTTTTATCATCCACCATCTTCTTCGTTGGGCTTTTCATATTCTTGTTTTGTTTTGCTTGCATTTCAAATAAAAGTATGATAAACCAAACGCAATAGCCGAAACAAGTTCGGTGTCCGCCATGCTTGTCTGTCCAAATGTGAGCCTCATTTGTTCTAGTATTGGGGCTTGTGGACGCTTACCGAGACTTGGCAAGAGTGTAAACCTACCATTAATAAGCTGCGCTATCTAATGGTGTATTTACATAATCGTGTAGTTTTCGACAAGATTTATTTTTCTGACTGTATTCGGGAAAGATATTTTGAAGACAAATATTCTCAGTGTGTTCGGAAAATCTATATTCATACTTTTGTTTCTTTTATCTATACTAATCTTATTTTCTGGTAACCGATCTCGTTCTTCGTCCTTTATTTCTCCGAAATGAATTACGAAAATTATATTGATCGAAGATTTATCAATGAATATGGCTTAATATCTCCTATAACTGAGTCATGATCTGTATAGGTGCCTTCTTTTGTTCCAGTGAACTTATCTGTATGAGCCTTCGTTGTCTAATATTATGGTAATTGAATCAATTTATACGCAGTGATTACTATGACTGTCCTATATAGCGTGTCTCATTAAAAAGATTTTAAATATATTTTGAGAATACTTAGAACACTTAGATAGTCGTATATATTATATTTTGTTTTTATTTTTATTGTTTGTCAAAAGATGTCTTTTTAAAAATTATAGGTAATAATTTAAATAAAGTATGTATTTGTAAATTAGGGGAACAAATTGGGGACAGTCCACATTCCTCCTACTAGCATTATTCATTTTTTTTTTCTGTACGGCACAAAAAATGACAGCTACTAATTCGAGACATCTTTATTCTATAAAAAAATATACAAATAATGTCCAGCAGCAAGTTAATTACCAGATATTATCTCACATATATAATTATTTAAATCTATCGTTCAGAATAATCTAAAATCTAAAAAAAATAATTCTAGATAAACTATTTAGATTAAATTATTATAGTACTATTTTAATACGTCTTATTAATTTAAAAACACATTACTCTTATCGATCGGTATTTTGATTATATTTATATAGCTCTAGGAAATAGATTATCTTTTTATTCGATTTAACTGCAAAATTAATACACTTTAGTCATACTCCTTTCATAATAAAATATGAAATCTAAAAGAGAAATTGCACCGAACTTTATTTTTTTTTTAGAAAATGAAACATTTGCATTGTTAATCACATCTGCAAAATTGACTGATTAGGTCTTTATTACACCGAAATATCCCTAAACGTTTGCATGATTGTGCTGCCAAGTCTGTCTGATAAGAGTTTGAAATTTGATTTTTACGTCCAAGCATTGGTTACATATAAGCAGTGATATAAATGAAAGATCAAAAGTCTTAAATATCTCGCTTTGGCAAAGAAAATTTCATTTTAATAAATAAATGTATTCGACCATCGTTTTTCAAAAATGAAAAAAAAAAATGTTCGAAAAATTCTCTGGTATTAATGAAGCCAAATAATTTAAAAACAGATTTCTTAAACTTTCAAATCCGATTAATTACTAATTACTAATTACTAAGTAATTTCAAACATTTATATAATAATATAATAATAATATCTCTACTCCTCATTCTAACTGCGAGAATTAGCCCAGAAGTCGGAGACTTGTGCGGGAGAGTAGGCGGCATATTATTATTAAGCAGGCCGCATTTTGCGCCTAGGAACGACTTATGTTGGTAGGCCCTAACCACCATTCAGTGCAGGAATGAGGGAAACCTGGAAAACCTCATTAATTAGGGGGGTGGTCAAATGCCAACCGGTGTCAATCTCTCACATTGACCCAAGCCAACATTCTTCCACCCTACCATACTTACACAGAGGGTGCCAATCCTCCGTACAAGCATAGCTAATCTACGGTCTACCGGCCGCGGGATTCGAAACCCGGGCAGATCGACACATCGATTTA